TTGGTGTTGTTAATATGAAGAGCTTGAAATAGGTCAACATTATCTCATATCTTGGGCAGTAAGTGGACTCAGTAAATATTTGAAATTTAACTCATTATACTACTTCTCTTGTTGAGTTGTTGTTGGCATTGTTGTAGTGAACTTTGAGGTGGGGATGCCAAGACCACATGTTGTGGTACTTTGGACCAAGGACACATGCAGTGGTGCTGGGGGTGGGAAAGTATATGGTGTTGGGATCAAACCCAGGACCTCATGCATGTAATGCATGTGCTCTATCAGTTGAACCGCATCTATAGACCCCTATTATCTCTTTCAGTCTTCATGAAGCCTTGAATCTCAATGTATATTGCTATTAATTGATAATAAGAGGATGGTGACTATGCTATTGATTTTTATGGGTTTTTCTTGAGGGGAATGAAATACGTTATTTAGATAACTGTGAAAGAAGAGAGGGCAGTAGAGGGGGAGGGGAGAGAGAGGGAGGAAAAAAGAGAGAGAGAGAGGGAGGGAGAGAGAGACTCAGAAACTCAAGAGAGTATGGGGCTTCTTAGAGGGGATAAAGCTGATATATGTATCTCAGGTTGATCTGCAGGCAAATTTCTAGAATAGAGAATGAAACTTATGTTATTTTTTGTTTTTCTTCCTTTGTTATGTTTGTATATTGTATAAGCTGCTGGTGATTCATTGCAATTGGCTGATTGCTAAAATTGTAACTTACAATTTTTATTGTGTGCTTACATTCAGACATTCATAGAGTGTCTAAATAAAGTATTATTGAACTCATAGTTTAAATTTGTCTGTAAAAGAGGATTTATCAACAACCTTACTGTTTCTAAATCATATTTCTTACCTGCTATCTGTGCTGAAGATTGCAGTATTTAGTTCATGTTAAAGTGGATAGTAAGATTTAGAGATACCTGCTGATGATCAGGGTTCATTCATTAGTTCTGATTCAGAGAGCTTGGTTTTCATTATGTAACCCTGTTCTTAATTTTCTGCAGTTGGTCACCATAGAGCCAGCACTGAAGCAGGAAATCAGAAGTTTCCTGCAAACATATTTCTTTGGATGAGACATTTTTTATTTAAGTATGTTAAAAAAAAAAAGGAAACAAATGCTTTTCCCTGATTTTCTTGTTACAAAATCAAATACCTGGCCAAATGTTAAATTCTTTGTAAGTACTCCCTTTGCAAAAAGAAAAATCTCAAAATTATGACTAAGTCTTGTGAAGGCTCAATTTAAACCAAACAAAGGGGTATTTGAAGTCATAATGAAGTTCTTTCAACCATGGTATAAGGTTAGCATGCTTGAATTATTCCATGTCTTTTTAAAAATATGATCTATTAAAAACATGATAATCTCTCTCCACATAGATAATTTCAGAACTATTGGGGGAACATATCTGCTTGGACTCATTCAAATTCAGATTTGAATCTAACCCTACCACTTGTTATGAACATATGTGAACTTTGGCAAATTCCTATCATATTTTTAAAAATTTTTATTAGTGAGACACCATGAGGTACAGTTGTAGACTTACAAATTTTTGTGCTTGGGTTTCAATTATACAATGACCAAATACCCATCCCTCCACCAGTGCCCATTTCCCACCACCACAGATCCCAGTATTCCTCCAACCCCCAATCCCCCCAATCCCACCCTGCCTCTGTGGCAAGGCATTCCCTTTTGTTCTCTCTCTCCGTCTAATACCTTAGAGATCTTTTGTAAGGAAAAAGTACTTACCTCAAGGATTGCTGAAAATATTATTTGATAAAGTGTATATGCAATGTCCAGGTGAGCGCCTCGTATCTGAATGTCAATTGCGGAATGGATCTTGGTGGACTAAATGATTCTGTGATATTTCCACTACAGCAGCAGCATATCATGCACATACAGTGCTAGAAATATGATTCCAGAGATTTTTAGAAAAGTATTATAAAATATGAAATATTTGGATTTGATTTGAACTTGAAGCTAACAAGTACTAAAGTTACCACCTCTGCCTTCACTAGCTTCTGAATTACTATAGGGTATAGGGTACACAATTCCATCTAAAAAATATTCATCAGTAATTGCTCCCAGGGAAACTCAGTGTGGCTATTTCATTAAAGATGGTCATCTGCTACAAAAAAACTATTTGTTTCATTCAGTTTAATATTTTTACTTGGGCTAAGAAATAACTAAGTATATTTCTTACTTTTATCTTTGATTTGAGTCATGTTTCAGTGATTTCCTAGAAGAGATATCAATTTTACATCTGCCACAGAGGAGGAAAGAAACCTACATATACGAATGATTATAATCTTTGCTCGGGGCATTGAGTCCCCCCAGTACTCCAGAGAAACTCATAAATCCATGTGATATCCCTGACTGCTGCATTTCACATTTGGGTGTCAGAGTTAGAGAAAGATATGTAAAATTGGGTCAGACATAAAATGCATTGACTATATATTTGGGTAAGTTCTCATGCATTGTTTATTCCAGGGAGTTCATTTTGTGACATCTGGCACATATTCATACTTGTGACATATTTATACTTGTGACAGGACCTTATGTAGGACTGAAGTATTTGTCCTCTCAAAAAATCTCTGTTTTTCACTATTGTTACAACCCTCATGGTTGACATAAAATCTCATTTAGTATATGAATGAAGAAAAAAACTTTCCTGTTCTGATACTAAAAATTTCCCTCATGTGAAGGGTGATAGATCTTTCTTTCAATGCCAAACACTTAAAAATTATATCCAAACTCAGATTTTAGTTCTTAAAGAAAAACATAGTTTTTTTAATGGCTTAGGAAGTTTTGAAAAAATATCTTTGAAAAAGCCAGATTCAAAACAGCATAATAACTCTGAAAATATAATTAAAAAGTTGTTTTTCTTTCCTTCTCTTATTTAATTTTTGGCTGAAAAGTTTATATTTGGCAGAAAAATATTTTTGGCTGGTCACTGAATCTTGAAAGACAATTCCTTGTAAATAGTGGTAATTATTAATCCAAACAAAACTAATTTAACAAGATTAAAAATGATCACATATATAAATTAAGCTGTACTAATACCTGAACTGCCTTCTTAGCCTCCAAATAGTTGAACTTAATTTCAGTCATCTGATATCAAAGTCTTAGAGTCTTCCATAGTAAATGTGAATGGCCTGACAGGACCATATAGATGATCAAGTGAGATCTTGTTTTCTTCCTTTTCTAATTGTTATTTTTTGGTAAAGAAGATACTTTATTTATTCACTGAGGTTTACAAAGTTGTTCACAATACAGTTGTCATGGATTTTCAATGTTCGAACACTAATTCCCCTACAAAGTGACCTTTCCTCCACCATTGTCCCCATTTACCAAACCACCCTCCAAGCTTCCCCCTTACCAGGCACACAATAAAACTTTATATTGTTTAAAACTTTATATTGTTTGCTGTAACTAAATTGCTAAAGTAATTATCAAAATACTTTCATAAAAGAAAATATGTCAAGATTGTTATATCTCACTAAGGGGTTATTAAATTCTTTTCTAGGGATTTACTAAGCTGTTTGGTACTAGTTGAGCCTTCAGTGCTATTGTTTACTGAGTTTAGTTGGCTTCTATGGTACTTTCCCCTGTAATTTGGTGTGCTCCTACTGAAATTTCGGTATTGACAAATCTGAATGTGGCCTATGTGGCCACAAGATCCAGACACTTTAGGATCTGTAGCCTGGGCCAATGAGTTGAAAAGACCCCAGTGTTCTTAGCTTGGAGACCAAGAGTAACTGAAATTTTCCATGATTTGGTGTCTCTGCAGAGAGAAGTAGTGAAGTGGTGGAATTGAGCCATTGTCATGGCTGCATCAGTGGGGTGTGATTTGAGGCTTCTGCAGGGAGCGACATATTGAACCCCCCTCCTGAGAGTGCCTGGTAGTACTCAGTTGGGGTTACTGATGTGCCCATGAATTTTAGCTCCTTGGCTTGCATCTCCTCGGAGATTTAGTTGGAAATCTGTAGAGCGGGGCTGTGTGAGTGAGTCAACATGGCTGCAGCTCAGTTTTTAATTTATTTTTTATTTAATCAAACCCTGGTTGGCTGTGTGAAAGCCAAGCACCCTACCTGCTGTACCATCTCTCCAGTCATTTATTTATTTTCTTTATTAGGTAGCAACAATAAATATTATGCTTTAGAACTTACATTCCTATTTAACAGTGGTCCTTCTACAGAGGCAGAGTAACTGAAGATAAACATGAAAAATATAAAGAGAATCAGAGACCAGGAGAAAAGGGCAGTAAGGACCCAGTTACCTGAAGCTTATATTCAAGTCTGAATTTCTGTTCTGACTTTGACTTGTTTATATTTATTTACTTTGTATTTTTTGGGTTACATTCTGAAGTGCTTAGACCTGCTTCTGATTCTGTGCTCAGAGGACCATACACGGTGTCAGGGATCAAATCCTGTCAGTCACATGCAAGAATTCCTGTCCATTTTGATTAATTTGGAGGCAAAATTACTGTTTGTATTATTTGACTTAAATCCAAAATTTTGCAAGTGATTGCATTCTATTGTATCTAAATAAAAAAACAGTTCTTATAATAAAATCATGTTTTTCAGGATGTAATAATATATTGCACAATGTATACATAATATATTCAGAAATATTGAGTCACTTTTTCTTTCTTTTTTTCCTTGAACATGTGTGTAGGTATTTGAGACTCTTTCTTTTCTCCTTTCACTTCAGATATTGGTTGTTTGAAATCTGTTTTGTCATCTTTATCATCACCATCGCTCATGTATGCTGCTTCATATTTCTGCTTTTCCCAAAATGTTGGAATGCAAAATTGTATGGATCATTCTTGAAGCAAACTTTTTTGTGTTGCTGCTTTTGCTTGTCTGCACTCTGGCAAACCTGCCCCACATACTTCTGAGACTAGGCATCTTTCTGCATGATCAGCCACGTATATGGCTTGGCAAGGCTGGCCAAGGCAGCCATGAGAAAAGCACTCAGCAGAGTAGTCCAAGAAGTGCACCCAAAGATGACCAGCCCTCAGCGCCTCCAAAGTGGAAGTGGGAGGCGGGTAATTTGTCATGGTAATATTGGCATGGTAATTGGAGTAATTAGGACAAGGAAAAAATATTTATAAATAAAATATATTTGTGAATGGATTAATTCTGTTGTTACTTAATTACTATTGTCGAGGATTTATGCACAAAAATTTGAGAAGGAAAACCTGGGTTGAATGAACCATTTCTTCTTTCCAAGGAAAAAAAGTTTAGTTGAAGAGGCTGAATGGAGTAACAAACAAGATTAGTTCAAGATTTCAAGATTTCAAACTGTAATAAATGGTTATTAAAATTTAAATAATGGTTATTAAAATTTAAATAATGGTAATAAATGGTTATTAAAATTTAAATAATTTACTGATTAGTATTTAGGATCAGCCCAGGGATTGAGCTGCAGTCACCTACAAGGAAAACAAATGCTTCATCTCTGAAACTATTTCTTAGGCCCTAAAACTATTCAACTCTTATTTCAGATATTAGACATTTGTATTGTTTGATCTCTTTCTCTCTCTCTCTCTCTCTCTCTCTCTCTCTTTCTTAGAGTTTTACTATATCTTCTTGGAAAATTTTATGAGCGCTTTATTCCAGTATTCTCTAGCTGAGTTTTTATTTTTTGCTCTCATATTTTAACTTTTTTTTGTGCTTCCAAAGCAGTGTTGAGAAGGTTCAGGGCCTCCTTCTAGCAACACTCAGCCACTTTGATTGGCAGTTTGATACACAGCGGCAAAATGCTGTTTTTGAACCTATGGTGCAATTAATTATCTGAGTCATTTTGTTTTGCTTGAGGCCTCTGGGGTTTCTCCCAGTAATGCATGGGAACCTTGTGGTGCAGAAATTGAACTAGGATAGGCTGCATGAAGTCATGTGCCTTAACTCTGTATTTTCTCTCTGTACTTTACGGTCATGTTCTAAAATACCCAAGGTTTTTCCATTTTATTTTTAGAACAAACCTTTCCCTCCCTCCCTCCCTCCCTCCCTCCCTTCCTTCCTTCCTTCCTTCCTTCCTTCCTTCCTTCCTTCCCTCCTTCCTCCTTCCCTCCTTCCCTCCCCTCCCTTTCATCTTTCTTTCTTTCTTTCTTTCTTTCTCAAGATTTTTTTTCTTACCCATCGGATACCATTATAGAGGGATTTTTTCTCTTTGAAAACTACTTCTGTGTACAATCTTTGTTATATCCATGAAGTTAATTTCTATTGCTGATTATCTGAAGAATGTTTTTCATAGTAGTGACTTCTTCCAAAATCTGATGATACCTTACTAAGCACTAATATTTAAAAGCTTGGCTTTAAAAATATATTGATATCTCTGTTCCTATGACCAGAGTTTGGTATTTCTTTAAGTTTATTATGAATCAACCATTTTTTAAAGAAAGTTGAAATAATTTTTGTGTAAATTTCCTATCCATTGTTGGAATTTTCAGGTCCTTTCTAAACACTTGCCTGAATAATTTTGGGATAAAATTGGAAAAGAAAGTGACTACTTGATTATTAAGGGTATGAAATTTTTTCTTAATTCCCACATCTACTGTAAAAGCCCTTCAGCTTTATAGTTTGTTTGGGTTTTGGACCACAAAAACTAGTGGTAAAAAGGGCTTACTCTCCATTCTGTCCTCAAAGATCACTACTGGTAGGGTTTGAGGAACCATATGGGGTTCTGGGAATTGAAGCCAAATTGGCTATTTGCATTACTAGTGCTCTACCCACTGTACTATCTCTCTAGAACCCAGCAGCCTTTTCAGTGAGACCCTGATTTATACAAATCAGTCCCAGTGGCCTGCGAGAACTAGTAATGTAGCTCCCTGGTCACCTGGAATTGAAGAAATTCAAAGATTCTTGAACAAATTTTTCAGCCTTCCTATTTTGGTTATCTTCATTTTGATATTTGATATGTTTTAAAATTCTGCTGTGCAAATTATTTTGTTCCTAGTTTACTCTATTGTGAAATTAGGAATGAGTACTTACAGATTTGCTAAAAAGGTAATAAATTTCTACCCATCTTTTCAGAACAGATATAATCTTACTAGATTGATCATAGTACCAGTCCTACTTCCAACAGAAATAAGATGAGATATTCAAGTGTGGGGATTTTGAATCACAAATCACACAAATCGTCCTGTTAATCGTCAATTGCCTCGAGCAGGCCCCAGTAACATCTCCTTCATCCTAGCCCTGAGATTATATTCAAGGCTCTTTAGGAGAATGAGACCCATCATTGTTACTGGTATTTGGCATATTTGGTACACCACAGGGAGTTTGCCAGACTCTGCTGTGTGGGCAGGCTACATTCAGTAGCCTGCCAGTTTGTACAAAGTAGGAATGAGATAATAAGATGTCATAATAGGATGTCGGGCGGCTGCGTGGGAATTTTGAATAGAGCTTAATAAAAACACAATTTCAAGCTATTAGAAGAAATGTAGATAAGGTACAAGGAATGGGGTGGGATACTGGATCTAGTAACAAAAATAATTGTTGGTAATTCTAGAACTGAAGCCATAGAGAGAGGGCATGATGGCCAGTACCTGTAGGAAGAATTAGCTGCATGCGGAGGCAACTCCTTTATAGAAGTCCATCAGCCTAAGGAAGCTTGCAGTGGGGTGTTCGGAATAAGTACTGCAACTTATTATATTCCCTCTTATCATCCCTTGACTGTGCTTAGTGTTGGCCAAGTCCATAAGGAAATATTATTGCAGCTTATCCAGGACAAAAACTCCTCTTCCATGCCTCTAATGTATATAGCATAGTGAAAAAGAGTTGAGAATTGATCTGCAGAGGGAAATGACATGAATTTACAGTGATTATTTATTCCTAAAAAGGGTAAAGTTGAAGGTGTTTGATTTAAACTGCAAGATAAGATGATGATCAATAACTAAGGGAAATTATTCAAGAAACTTTGAAAATCATTAAAATGAAGTAAGCATGAGGTTTAATTATACATTTTACTTCTTTGTGACCTCCTGAAAGTAACAAATTTAATTAACAAGTCTTATTTTCTCATTGCTTCCAGATGAATTACTCCAATTTGATCTGACCCTAATATCTTTTATTTTTGTGTTTGACAAATATGATTTGCAATTACTGACCATAAATGGTACCTATAGAATAAATACTGTTTCACATATATTTGCTCTTCGGAATCATTTGGTAGAACTTTTTCCACTTGAAAAATCCAATGAATATAGCAATTAATCCTTAATTTTTATTTTAAAAATATACAAAATATTTCAAGTTATTTCAAATTCAGGTACAAGGCCAATAAAGGATCTTTTGAAGTATCTGAGTTTTGGTAGAAGTGTTTCACAAGAATAGAGCTATATGTAGAATCTTTCCCAATTGTGTTTCTTTATATTATAATCCTAGAAGTGTCCACACAAAATTTGAGTGCATATTAACTTTACACAGGGAGATCAAAACTGGTTTTCTAAGATTAAGTTGAAAAAAAATCATAAGTTCTCTTAGAAGTATTAGATGCATTAAGTGCACCCACAATAAACTAACCAACCTAAGTGGAGATACAATCCTAATCAATTTGTAAAGACTTGTATGTTATAAAGTTGGAAATTATATGAAGATTTATAGCAGGGAATCATGCAGAAACTATGGCCTTTTGAGAAATTTTCTGTAGACTGAGTCAGTTTCAGCAAATGGCTGTGTCCATAATGTTCTTAAATATTCTTCTGTCTTCTAAAATAGTAATTCTAAGTTTCAGTCCTGGCATGAAGGACTAGTTAATTCTATAGATCTGAATATCCCTGAAGATTAAAAAAATCTATAAAAGAGTCAACCATTATGAGGTGGACCTGATATCCCCTATGATGGTAGTGTTAGCCTGCAGTTTTTGTATGTAGTGAGCAATTGAATGACTAAAGACTGTATAGTAGGGTGACTGTGGCAAGTTAGGCACTTTTTGTATGCTAAATGTCAGGTCCCCAACAACTTCATCCAGGTCTTTGAATACTTTACCCTGAATCATCTTTGTCCTTCACTTTGTTTTCAACTGGTGCAACTAAGGGATATCAATGAATGTACTCCTGCAAAGAGTGTGTGAGGGTAGATAAAATTTAGAGTGGAAACACTAATAAATGTCTTATGCCCAGTTGAAAATACAGGAGCCATAGATTATCCACTGGCAGAACAGATATAGCTGTTACAAGTTGAGCAGCAAAAGCCAGAGTACCATGTGTTTCATTATATAAACATTATCTCATTATTATGGGCTTGGCTGTGCCCCTCTCCACTTATATTCTTGTACTGAAGTCCTACATCTCATTTGCTCTGCATATGAGCTCATTTTGAAATAAGATAATTGCCAATTTGCTAAGGTATTTCCTCAGAATCTCAGACTTTCTAGATAACCTGATCTAGTGAAAGGGAGATTTCAGTACTCTTCACATATTATATTAACTTAATTTTTTAATTTGAAGTATTATGATTTGCAATGTTAATTATAAGTGGTTATTTGTGTGTATGTGTGTCTTTGCAACATACCAACACCATACATACCCTTTGCTTTTCTTCATTTCAGTGTCCCCTCCTACCTCCCAAACAATAGTTGGCTTAATCCTATGAACTAGTTCTCATTTTCTTTGACAATTTATTGTTACCCTTACTATATTTCTTTAAATATATGAGAAAGACCATTCTTCACCTGTCCCTCTCATTCTAACTTCACTTAGCAAGATACTCTCTAAATCTCTCCACCTATTGGCAAATTACATACTATCATTTTACATTTGTATGTGTATGTATGTGTTTGGATCACAGCTGGCAGTGCTCAGACCAAATGCTATTGAAATTTATATAGAATAATAAAGGCCCCAAATAGCCAAAGAAATTCTAGGAAAAAAGAAGACGGGAGGTTTCCCTTTCTCCAACTTTAACTTACACATAAAACTATAGTAATCAAGACAGTATGGTACTGGAATAAAGACAGACTTTAGAGCAATGCAGTAAAATTGGGAGCTCAAGGACAGTTCCTTAGGTATATGGTAGCTAATCTTTGCCAAAGGAGCTTTGTGTACAAAGTGGACCTCAACAGATGGTGTTGGGAAAACTGGTCAGTTACACGTGAAAAAACTCATACCCCAATCTCACACTACACACAAAAGCCAAATAAAAATGGGTTAAATATCTTGATATCTAACCCAAAGCTATAAATTATATTGAGGACAACATAGACCCTTCATGACATTGATTTAGAATCACCTTTAATGATTCAATGCTAGTGGCCAAGCAAATGGCAGCAAAGATTGATGGAACTACAGCTAATTTAGAAGCTTCTGTCACTGTCACTGTCCCTGTCCCTGTCCTCCCTTTGTTCATTGATTTGCTCGAGTGGGCCCAGTAAAGTTTCCATTGTGAGACTTCTTGTTACTCTGTTTAGCATATCGAATACCTCACGGGTAGCTTGCCAGGCTCTCCGAGAGGGATGGAGGAATCCAACCCGGGTCACCTGGGTTGGCAGCATCAACCACATGCAAGGCAAACGCCCTAACCCCTGTGCTATTGCTCCAGCCACAGAAGCTTCTGTAACTTAAAAAAAAAATCAATCAAAATAAAAAGATACGCTCGGGCTGCTGCAGCTGCGGCTACCCGTGCAATGCTCGCTGGAGGCGGTGCTGAGGAAGATTCGCATCCTGCAGGAGCAGGTGGACTCAGCGGAGGAGCTCGTGTGCGGCTTGCAGCTTGAGCTGAACCTGGAGAGGAAGCTGCGGAAGACCGCGGAAGCTGATGTGGCCTCCTTGAACAGACGCATCCAGCTGGTTGAGGAAGAGCTGGATCGTGCCCAGGAGGGCCTGGCCACAGCCCTGCAGAAGCTGGAGGAGGCTGAGAAGGCCACAGAGGAGAGCGAGAGAGGCGTGAAAGTCATTGAAAGCCGAGCCCAAAAAGATGAAGAGAAAATGGAAATTCAGGAGATCCAGCTGAAAGAGGCCAAGCACATTGCTGAGGATGCTGACCGCAAGTATAAAGAGGTGGCCCGGAAGCTGGTCATTATTGAGAGTGACCTGGAGCGTGCGGAGGAGCGGGCCGAGCTCTCAGAAGGTCAAGTTCGACAGCTGGAAGAGCAGCTAAGAATAATGGATCAGACCTTGAAAGCATTAATGGCTGCCCAGGACAAGTACTCACAGAAGGAAGAGATCAAGGCCATTTCCGACAAGCTGAAGGAGGCTGAGACTCGGCCGGAGTTCGCAGAGCGGTCAGTAACTCAGTTGGAGAAAAGCATTGATGACTTAGAAGACGAGCTGTATGCTCAGAAACTGAAGTACAAAGCCATCAGCAAGGAGCTGGACCACACTCTCAACGACATGACTTCCACGTAAATGTCCACCTGCCCGCCTGTTCATGCGCCTGCCTCATGCTTACGCAGTAACTTCTAGCCTTGCCGCTGCTCCCTCCAGAGTCCGTCTTTCTGCCTTTCTGCTGCGTCTTCTGTATCCTCTAGGGTAGTCCACGTTTCTTCACATCCTCCCATTATGATGGCCACTAGGTGAAGTCTGTTTCTACGTGGTCCTTTCAGAGTGCATTAATTCCACCGTCTCTATGTGCTTGTTCCCAGCAAGCCATGCGCCAGAATCTGAATGCCTTTTTGAGCACTGTTCTTTAATAAACCTGATCAAGTAAAACTTAGGAGGCCAATGCAGTTGTCTAGAAACATCACTTAATCACTTAAATCACTTAACTTCCCGTTAGTCATCGATTTGCTCGAGCAGGCACCAGTAACGTCTCCATTTGTCCCTGTCGCGTGCTAGTGCAGCCCAATGGCATCTGTTCGCTCTGGGATCATGAAGAGCCTCAAACCGATCGTTCGTGATCTTCACGAAGAAGTCTGACCATCTGGTAGGTGGGCGGCCATGTGGTCTTTTGACATCCCGTGGAATCCAGTCAGTAACAGCTCTAGTCCAGCGGTCGTCTTTAAATCTCATTACGTGACCAGCCCATCTGATTTTTGACACCTTGGCAAATGAGACAGCGTCCCTGATTCTTGATCGTCGATGGATGTCAGAACTCCGGATTTTTTCTCTCATTTGAATGAAACGTGATATTCCAAGCATAGCTTTTTCTATTCTTCTTTGGGAGACCTGAATACATTCTCATCTTGTTTGCATAGGGCCCAGGTCTCTGAGGCATATGTTAATGCAGGAAGAACAGTGGAATCAAAGAGATGTGCCCGGAGCCGGAGGTTCTTCCTCCTCTTAGCTATTTCTTCGACGTTCTTGAAGGCGTTCCAAGCCGCTCTCTTCCTCCTGCGCAGCTCGGGTGCCAGGTCATTTGTCATGTTGACTTCTCGACCTAGGTACTCATAGCTGTTGCATTCGGAGATGGTCGTTCCATTGAGAGCAAATGGGGCATCAGGAACAAGGCTGTTTTTCATGAACATTGTCTTCGTAAGATTCAGCTGTAGTCCTACCTTCCCACACTCACGGTCAAAGTCGGCCAGCATTTGTGCCACTTGGCTGATGTTTGGTGTTATTAAAACAATGTCATCAGCAAAGCGGAGGTGGTGTAATTGCCGACCATCTATCTTCACTCCCATTCCTTCCCATTCCAGTCATCGCATGATGTTCTCGAGGGTGGCACTGAAGAGTTTTGGTGAAATGGTATCACCCGGCCGAACCCCTCTCCTGACATCAACATCACTTCTTTGTAGAATGGTGAGATCCTGGTAGTGAATCCGCAATACAGCTCACGGAGGATCCTGATGTATTGGGCTTGAATGCCCTGATTGGCTAGGGCTTCAATGACCACTTCTGTCTCAACAGAATCAAAGGCCTTCTTTAAATCAATGAACGTTAAACAGAGCGGCATCTTGAACTCCCGAGAAACCTCAATGAGCTTGGTAATCGTGTGGATATGGTCGAAGGTGCTGAATCCTTTGCGGAACCCGGCTTGCTTGCATGGTTGTCCTTCATCTAGTGTTCTGCCAATCCTATTTAGGATGACTCGAGCGAACAACTTGTAGATGACAGACAATAGGCAGATCGGGCGATAGTTGCCAATGTCATGGATGTCTCACCCCCCCCCCCAAAAAAAAAAGAAAATGCCCAACAATCTAGTTTTTGCAACTATATTATATACAATGTAGTCCTTTAAAAAAAAGGTTAAATTTATGGAACCCTAAAATTTGTAAGGAAATGAGGGAAAGAACCTTGATCCAATACAGACTGAAAAAATGGTTTTGAGGGGTGCAGAGTGATAGTACAGCTGGTAAGGCTACTGCCTTGCAGATGGTTAGCTAGGTTTCTATCTCTGGCATCCTATGTAGTCCCCTGAGCACCACCAGGAATGATTCCTGAGTGCAAAGCCAGGAGTAACTCCTGAGCATCACCTGGTGTGGTCCTAAAACTAAAGAGAACTAAAAGAATAGTGCTGTGTCAGGTAATCTTCCCCTCACTTTGAGGAATTCTTCAGACCCACTGGGGTTTGTTGATGAGTAACCAAGCTTTGCTTACCTGCATTTGAATAAAAGAAGATAAAAGGACAGCTCCCACTGGATAAACACTGGAAGCTGTCGAAGAAATGGGAACTGAAATAGACTGTACAATCAGAGTCTGGGCGTTCTTGGCCCAGCTTGTACTGTTGTGAGTGCAGGAGTTATAATGTCTTGTTCTTAGGAGAATCTTGAACAGACACAACAGTCTACCTGCTGCTACTAACCAGGCCTAAACATGAAGCTGATTCTGCCCCTAATTTCTAATCTGGATTGTTCCATGGGGTGGGTGGTGGGGCTCTCTTCATTCTAACAATATAACACGCATTCCATAGAAGATGGAAAGTTTCTTTTCCAGTTCCACCTGGAAAATAAACCTTGACCAGGCAGAAAAGTCACAGCTGCAGAAGTGTGGTGTGAGTCCTCCGGGATGTAACTCAGACACCTTATGGGTGTGAAACTCCATCCCTGGCACCCCCGCCCCTACCCCACCTACCCCCCCCCCCAAAGTGGCAGAAGCAGCCGGTGCGCAACAACATGGGTTGCAGAATCCCCACATTACCTTAGAGACATGATACCATCCTGCAACCAGAGAAGTCTCCACATGTCTTCCGTGTCAGTGCGGGGGTGGGAGCAGGGCACTTGTCTCTAAGGACTTCACATGTTAACACTCTAACAGTGCTAAAATGACTCTGGGAAGATTTAACGTCAGGCATAGACTGTGATGAAATATTCTAAGAGATAGGTTTGGCTTATGCTGTGAAATTCTAGCTTCTGTCCATGGGTCGCTCTGGACTCTGGTGGGCAGACTGACCACAGGGGCTACCCTCAGACATTTGTGTCTGCTTCTCCCCTATGCCCCAAGCTGCTTTCATCTGTCCCTCTGCATTTCTGTCTTTTCATTGCTCCAGTTCCCCGGCCGCCCTTCTCCTACCTTTTCTCTCCATGCAGATAAGTTTCTTTGCTTCACTTCTCCCAAGACCCCCTCCATTGAGCTGGATACCTGCCTCTCTGCACTCTGCAGTTTGTCTGTTCTCCAGCTGGCCCTGATCTTTTCTTCTGGAATCCTACCTGCTCAGGGCCAGGCACACACTGTGCTCTCTATTGTACAGAAGCTCGTAATTCAGTGTAAAATAAATACTGTGTAAGCTAAATAAATAAATAAATAAATAGATAGACACTCCAGAGACTAGAGAATTTATTTGCCAACCACTCGTCTCTTAAAGGGTTAATATCCAAGTTATATAAAGTACTGGAAAACTCAACAACAACTACAACCAAATACCTTTTACTAACTTTTACAGAACTGTAAAGATGGCAGTGTAGGGAGCTGAATTGTGTGAAAATAAACTTTTGTATCAGACTTTGTTTTTCTGTCTTATTTCATTGTAGTATATGTTACCTCAGAAGGATAAAGGTGGAAACATAACAAAGCCCCCAGGAGCTCTTCTTACAAATGTAGGCCCCTGAAATAACTGAGCATTTGATTTTTGTATGTTCAGTATCTATACACCTTTATTTTGCTAACATCTTGCCATTGTCCTCTAAAATACATTCCTTTGTCTTGGTGAGAACCTAAAGAAATAATTACACCTCCTTTAAAGGGTAGAGTTTATACATGCTACTGAGACTAAAAGAAACATCTAAAACATTTTTTTTCCCTCTGGTGGAAAGCTGAACCTTGTCACAAGGACAAAACTTTTGCAATCAATTATTCTGGTGCTAGTGGCTGCAAGAGACTTTTATGGTGGCCTAGAGGAACCTCCATACTAATACAACCTTTTTTTTTCTGTGCAAGACCTTGACTTTTCTTGGAAATCTGTGATACTCGGTATATGTCTGATTGATTCAATTTCCTTAAGTTAATAAGAGTTGTTACTTTCAATCAAAGATCTTTAACTGATTGATTTAGCCTCTGTTCCTTTTTTAGTGTTACATGTTTCTAGCATTTTGACACCAATATTTCTGAGAAAGATAATGAATTTTTTCCTCTGAATCATCTGAATAGGTACTTTAGCAATTGATCCTGGATAATTAAGTGGTTGAATTTTGCACTAGAATACAATAACCACAGAAAGCATTTATAGTTTCAACTTTTATGCAAGGGGATATCTTTTTACTTTTAAATGAGTTCTCAACAATGTGCATTATTCCCCAAGTCCTGTTTATGCTGTCCTTGATGAACAAGATTCAAACCAGAGGGAATATTTTCAGTTCATTGAAAACAGAAATTGCTGGCGAAAATGAAAAGACATTCATGGTAGCCTACACAGCACAATATAAATGATATTTAATTAACGCTTTTGAGACTCTATTGTTAAGACAGATTTTATGTTTATTTATATTTTATTTTTCACAATTAATGAAAATAAGAAAAAGCATCTTGAATTTAAATAAAAACATGTAAATATTGAGACTATTAAACCAAAACCTCTATTTTAGTTCATAATCCACATAACATTCAATTAAATAATTGCTAAATATACTTTTTTTTGTTATTCTAGCTATACTTGTAAAAATGCATTCAGTTTTGACAGAAATATATAAGATGTCTAATTACTGGAACATACCTGATGATAGCTTAATTAGAAATCAAGATTATTTTCCAAACAAGGAGAAAAATCTATATATTTTTCTAAAGACAGAGATCATTTAAGAGGTCCTAAGATATGGTTCATTGGTAGAATGCATACCTTGCATGTATGAGGTCCTTGATTCTACTCATAGCACCAAAAAATTAAGAATAAAAAAGATAATTTTATTTTTATTTATTTATTTTTAATTTAATTTTATTTTTTAAAGTTGTTCAAAATAATATTTTACGTTTAACATTCCAACACAGGGCTGGAGCAATAGCACAGCGGGTAGGGTGTTTGCCTTGCACGCGGCCGACCCAGGTTTGATTCTTAGCATCTCATATGGTCCCCCAAGCACCGCCAAGAGTAATTCCTGAGTGCATGAGCCAGGAGTTGCACCTGTGTATCTCTGGGTATCACTCTATTGTTAAGACAGATTTGAGACTCTATTGTTAAGACAGATTTTATGTTTATTTATATTTTATTTTTCACAGTTAATGAAAATAAGAAAAAGTATCTTGGATTTAAATAAAAGCATGTAGATCTTTACAACATACAGCCAAAGAGAAGGACCACATGGAGGGCGGGAACCACAGATCCCGGAGAAGGAAAAAAAAAACAGGTTCCAAAAAGAGCCGAGATCACCGGGAAGTCCCAGATGGGGTAGGTACCGCATCCCGCCTCCCCCAGATGGAACCCTGGTGACCAGAAGCCTCTACAAGCACAGCTCGAGTATGCGGGAACTAGGACTTTTTTCTCAAATCTGCTGGGACTACAGCTCCCAGGTAACCTCTGATTCCGGAAGTCACGCCCACAGCCCGCCCCCCAGCGCCATCTTTACAACATACAGTCAAAGAGAAGGACCACATGGAGGGCGGGAACCACAGATCCCGGAGAAGAAAAAAAAAATCTCTCTATATACAAAGTGATCAATGGGAAGTAAACCACCCAACGTTTCTCCCTGAAAATCAGAGTTAAGTTTGGAGCACGGCCACAGCCCCAGAAACACAAGGACTTAATGCAGAACCCAGCAGCTTGGAGCAGAAAAGTGAAAGGACTATGCGCTAATCCAGGCGATCATGTCTGCCCGGAGGGGAAAGGGTGTTGCTCCCTTCCGCCCTCCTCCCTCTGGAAAGAAAGATGGCGGCCATATGGGAGCCTTGTGGACAGCAGGTATGAGCCGGGGGTGTGGGGGTGACTAAAACCTCATGGGAAGGGGGGTGTTCCGGTCCGTCCTTCATGCCCTACCGAGGTCACCAGTTGCCCCCCGCGAGCGGCTCTCCAGCACAGCCACGGCCCCAGAAGCACAAGGACTTAATGCAGAACCCAGCAGCTTGGAGCAGAAAAGTGAAAGGACTATGCGTTAATCCAGGCCATCAAGTCTGCCGGAGGGGAAAGGGTGTTGCCCCATTCGTCCTCTCCTCTCTGGAAAGAAAGATGGCGGCCACATGGGAGCCTTGTGGACAGCAGGTATGAGCCGGGGGTGGGGGGCGACTAAAACCTTATGGGAAGGGGGGGCGTTTCGGTCCGCCCTTTACGCCCTACCGAGGCCACCAGTTGCCCCCCACGAGCGGCACTCCAGCACGGCCACGACTCCAGAACACAGAAACCAATTTCTTAACTATATGACTTTCAGTAGAAATACTTCCAGGGTCAATAGGTAAAATAGCAGAAATCCAAAACCAACATTTAATTCTTGAACCCAGCTGTAGAAAGCAAATCACTTCACAATGCTTTTTCAGCATGTCTGATTTGGGGGGGGGGGTAAACTCTAAATAATAGTGGTGAATCTTTTATTGAAACAGTGAATCTAATCAAAGCAGATAGAGTGTTAACTAGAATTCATCTGCCTCACAGGGACTGGGAGGGGTGGGGGTGGGGTTTTATTGGGGTTCTTCATGGTAAAAAATAAGTATTGGTAAAGGGAAATGTGTTTGATATTTGTATGACTGAGACCTAAACCTGAAAGCTTTGTAACCTTTCCCACAGTGATTCAATAAATAAAAAAAATAAAACAATAAAAAAATAAAAAAAATAAAAAAAATAAAAGCATGTAAATATTGAGACCATAAAACCAAAACCTTTCTTTTAGTTCAGACTCCACATAACATTCAATTAAATAATTGCTGAATATACGATTTTTTGTTATTCTAGTTATGCTTGTAAAAATGCATTCAGCTTTGACAGAAATATATAAGATGTCTAATTATTGGAACGTAATTTTCCAAAAAACAAAACAAAAACAAAAACAAAAAAACAAAAGAAACAAAAACAACAACAAAACATTCCAACACAAATCCCACCACTGTTACATCTGCCCACCACCATATTTAGAATGTTTCCATCACTACCTCCAAACGCTGCCACAAAAGCAGGACCTAAATAATTTATTTTGTATTGCTTGTTATGAAAATCCACTAAAAATGATCTGAAAATGTTTCTGTAACTGTAGTTACTTTAACATGTTAGAGTATAATCTCTTGTACAAGGCTTAATTGCTCCAGGGTGAAATACAACAATTTTTATGCACTTTACTCAAAGAAAAATTTTCGGAGCGATAGCACAGTGGTTAGGGTGTTTGCCTTGCATGCAGCAAACCTGGCCAACCCGAGTTCGATTCCTCTGCCCCTCTCAGAGGAGAGCCTGGCAAGCTCCCTGTGTTGTACTCAATATGCCAAACACAGTAACAACAAGTCTCACAATGGAGACGTTACTGGGCCCACTTGAGCAAATCAATGAACAACGGGAGGACAGTGACAGTGATATATATATATATATATATATATATATATATATATATATAGTCACTTGATCACTTGACAAACCAATCACTCAGGGTCTTGACAAAGAAGTCTGACTATCTTGTAGGTGGGCGGCCACGCGATGTTTTGACGTCCCATGGAATCCTGTCGGTAATGGCTGTAGTCCAGGGGTCATGTCCAAATCGCATTACGTGTCCAGCCCATCTGATTTTCGATGCCTTGGCAAACGAGACAGTGTTCCTGATTCTCGACCATTGACGGAGGTTGGAACCAGATTCTTTCTCTCATTTGAATGAAGTGTGATATTCCAGGCATAGCTCTTTCGATTCCTCTTTGGGAAACACGAATAGCATTCTTATCCTGTTTTCATAGGGCCCAGGTCTCAGGCCCTATGTTAATGCAGGAAGAATGGTGGAATTGAAGAGATGTGCTCAGAGCCGGAGGTTATTCATCCTCTTAGCTATTTCTTTGATGCTCTTGAAGGCATTCCAAGCTGCTCTCTTCCTCCTGCACAACTCAGGTGCCAGGTTATTTGTCATGTTAACTTCTAGACCTGTGTACACATAACTATTGCATTCGGAGATGTTCATTTCATTGAGAGTGAATGGAATGTCAGGAATGAGACCATTTCTTATAAACATTGTCTTCGTGAGATTTAGCTATAGTTCAACCTTTCCACACTCACGGTCAAAGTTGGCCAGCATTTGTGCTGCTTGGCTGATGTTTGGTGTTATTAGAATGATGTCATCAGTGAAGTGGTGGTGGTGTAGTTGCCAACTGTCTAACTTCA